GGTCTTACTTGGTGTATTCGATCAGGCCCAGTATACTCTACCGCCACTTTGGGGAACTTACCCCTCACCCGCCCTGCCCCTTTTCTTTTCTTTCCTCGCTTCTGTTGTTTGTTTGTTCTTTCCTTCAGGCTTGTTTGGTTGGCTCTTAGGCTCGTTTCGCTATCCCCCCTTCCCGCGGAGCAAAAAGAGAGTGCGCCGAACGACGGCTTTTTGTGCGTGTCAACACCTGTCTCCAAGGAATTTGACCACACTAAGGAAATTGTAATTCAAGCGACAGTAGCGGGGGGCAGTGCACGATTGACAGACACTGCCCAACGAGGACACTGTCAGTTCGTGGTGAAGCTGGGACGCCGCCTTGTGTACCTGGACCAATTGTTTAATACACCGTAAAGAACTAATGAGTTTCCTCCGTTTCACCCATGTTAAACAACACTAATGATGCAGACTCCTCCACCTTGCGGTTTATCAGCCAAGGTCTAATCTGCAGTAAGCGTAAAGGGCTAGTCTCACAGGGAGATCAAAGCTGATACTGCTCTTACGAGCCTTTATCTAAGTGTGTGTGTGTGTGTGAATCAAGGAGTTCATTTGTTGTACTTAGGTTGGAAAGACCACTAGACCCATCCGCATCTCACCAACAAACTGCTCTTCACTATTGATGGGGTTCCAGTGGGTGCCGCTTTGATTGTTTTTGAACATCGACTGGACAGAATTCTGAAGGTCCACTGGTGGCAGGGGCAAGCAGTCTACTGCCGTAGCCGTAGCTGCCGTCGGTGTCGTTTGTTCCTCCAAACAGGAGGCCATGCCATTTATCGTTGATTCTGCAGGGATTAATGGGTGAGAAATGTGTGATTGACATGCTGAACAGACGCCTGGGAACATGCGCAAAACCCCCCCTAAACATGGCAGTCACCAATGGTGGAATTGTGGCTGTCAAAGGCCTTTTGCAAGATACACACCCTCAGCCCTATGAAGTGGTCCAAAAAAGTAAGATGCAGACCTGTTCCGTCTGCTAATTGTTTTTTGTTTTGTGGGTTCATACGAGTATGTCTTCCAACAAGTAAGGTAAGCCCCCCCAACAAGTAAGTAAGTAAGGTAAAGTAAAGTAAGTAAGTCAGTGAGTAAGTAAGAAAGTAAGTGAGTGAGTGAGTGAGCAAGTAAGTAAGTAAGTAAGCAAGTAATAGAGTAAGAAAGTATGCAATTGAGTAAGTATCGTAAGTAAGTAAGGTAAGTAAGTAAGTAAAGTAAAGTAAAGTAAGTAAAGTAAAGTAAAGTAAAGTATAGTAAAGTAAAGTAAGTAAGTAAGCAAGTAAGTAAGTATCGTAAGTATCATAAGTAAGTAAGTAAATAAGTAAGTAAGTAAGCCCATGGTAAGGAGCTATATACGTAGCAACTGTAGTATAGTATAGTATAGTAGGCCCCATAGGCAGGTGGGCACCTCAAACATTGTTTGGTTGTATGTCTGGTATTGCTGAAAGCGATGCCACAGCGACAGGCGATAGGTCCATAGGCCCTAGGCCCTAGGCTTCGGAAGACGCTCAAGTATGTCATAGTTAATCAATACGTAGCTAAACGTCAGCAGCAAAAGCTTTAGCCATTAGCCACCAAGCTACTTTTGGCATTATCTACAAATCTTGTCTAGGGTCTAGGCCTCTAGACACAGGAGGGAGGACACTGACAATCTAGAATCTAGAAAGACTCGACTATGGCTGGGCGGCGTTCCATTCTCATTGCTAATGACGCTACTGCTGGTAGTGATAGTGACTTGAGCTTAAACGGGATTTGGCGTTGGGAGGACGTATTTACTGTATATTAATTGGAAGCCTACGGGCCTGGGCCTGAGCCCGGGCCTGAGCCCCAAGCCATCACTTCCTTGCCTGTGCCCTTTGTGACTCTGCGCAGTATTTGAGGCAGAATGTCGGCGTGACACAAGGCTTGCAAGAGAAGTGGGAAGAGTCGTGCAGCCTCATCCTAGACAAAAACCAGGAGAAGCCAAAGGAAGATCCCAACAAAGTGTTCAGGCCAAAGATCTGCAAGGAGTTTGGCGTGTGCGTTTGTGGTGCAAATTCGGACAGTTGCCCGGATGCTTTGTAGTGTCATGAGAGGTTGGTTTTTCTCACGAAGCACTTCATGCTTGTCAGGGACAAGACCAAGCCAAAGACCCATCTAAGACTGCTTCTGGAACAGCGCTTGCTTGTGTTTCGGGTTTTGCCACAGCACGCCTCAGGCCGCGAGCTAGAATCAGACGATGGGTCCTTGTACTTTTGCATCGGGTATATCAACCTGAGCAGTTGAAGATTTTGCTGTGTTCAGTTGGCCTTCCATTGCAAAAACGGTGATGTTGTGACAACGCGTGTCGTCAAAGATGACAGCCAAATCCACTTCTCTGTGAGAACTTCAGTCCAATTTTTTGTTGAGCTGGTAGACTTTCGGAGAAAGTGGGCCGTGCAGTTCCTCGAGGTGTTGGATGACACGTTTTCTCTCGAGCACCTCTTTTGGCAGGGGTCACAAATTGAGGCAAAAGCAAGACGAGACAGCGCAAAGGGCAAAAGGGGTCCCAGGACCAATCGACCCCAAGCCAAAGCCAAAGGCAAATCCAAGATGTCAAAGGCAAGGCCGAAACCCAAGAGCGCTGCCATGCAGTCTGCAAAAGATGGCCTACAGCCCATCGAGGACAACAGTGAAGACGATGGAGAATCTGAAGAGAATGAGGAGAACCTTGCGCTGAGAGATGCAGAGGCCTCTGAAGAGGAGAGCGAGGTTGACTTGGACAGCGCTGAAGAAGCGGAAAGTGATCAGGAATCAGTCGGGTCAGCTTCCATTGCTTCGCTTCTGGAATCTGCATCCTTGGAAGAATTGGCTGAGCAAATTTCTGAGCCGAAAAATGACAAACCCCAAGAATCTGAAGTGGTCGAGCAAAGTGCTGCGCCTGAGGCAGGTGAGCCTGGGGCGGCTGCGGGTAGGGCGCCTGAGCCTCAGCCCAACTTGGAAAAGGAGGGCGGGGGCCGGAAGAACAATGATGGATTAGAAAGAGCAGCAAAGCGTGGTGAGATCAATCAGAATTGTTGATCATGGCGAAATCAGATACAATCAATCCGGCTTCATGAGAGCGATGTGTGCAAGCCCCAGCATCCCTGGCTTCGCTTGCTCGAGGCAAAGGACAACCTTGGGTTCTAGTGGTGGTCGTGGACGCCCGATCGGTGAGCTAGTTGCATGGCTCCAAGATGGACAAAATTTTGACAACCCGGCGGACCATGGAAGATCAGCTGGCAAGTCTTATCAGGAAAGATTGGACGCAAGGCGGTGGTTCTACACTTTGGACGGTTCTGCCCATTTTGCAGATCTGTATGAACGGAAGCAAGGTGCTGGTGAGTCAGAAGAACCCAGCAAAGTTCACAAGGTTCGTGGATCTTAGCCGCCAGCCATCAGTAGCCGAGCCATTGCCATTGGCCATATGCCATAGGCCCTTCTTGTTTTGACAAAGTCAGCCTGGTCCTGTGCGCGCTCAACCGTTTGCAAAACAACATGCCAGGTCACAGCTGCTTTCTGGCTGTGCAGTGAGAGAGACCTTCCTGTTTTATGTCTTGCTTGGTTTGCCTTTAATTGGGGTTTACCTTCTTGCCAGGGTCTGCCCCCGTTGCCTGAGGTTTACCCCCCGTTCGGGCGCCGGTAGCGTTCTCGTTCGTACGCGCTAATGGATACACGGTGGAGTTTTCGTTCATGGGCGCTGGTAGCGTTTTCGTTTCGTTCGTACGTGGGATTGGACAGGATTCTCTGGCGCCCCCCTCGGCAGGGGTCGGCGGAATATATAGAGATCACGAGATGATCTATTATCTCTATAGGTACTGAATATTCCTACAAGGTCAAGGTTCTGTTCTCATTCTTGGTTTGCAGAGGTCTGTGACCGTAAGCGCCCGAGCAATAAATTCGGGCGATGCCAAAAAGGTTTTACCGCTCAGCCCAGCTTGAACGGAATGACCTTCTGACGAAATCGAAGCAACACCGTGCCGGTCTGAGTATGTGCGTGTATGTGCGCTTTGCATAGTACAGTTTTTTCAGAGTAGATGGCATAGACCCCATGATGTCCTTTAGATGGAGGTCCATATAAACTACCTCTTGGGGTCTGTGCCATCTACTCTCAATCCACTATAGTTGCAAGTCCTCCTCATGCCCAAAAAGCCGGTAAAGATTGGTGTCCACGCAGACCAACCGAGACCGATCGGGGGCACGGCGCCCGCGTGCCGCCGCCCGAGGTTTCGGGCGAGTTCGCCCGGCCGTGTGAGGTTAGATCGCAGATCTGTTTGGTTCTTGGGGCTTTGTCCATGACATACACAGACTCCATGAGTTTGTGAACCACATGCGAAAGAATCGAAAACATCCAAACATGGGTCAAAACCTGAAACCCGACCAGTCCACCATGTAGGTCAACCGCTGGGTCTCCTGGTGCCAGCTCTCCGCAGCCATGTCCAAGCATTCCATGTGACTAGTCCATGTGACCTACATCGACTTTGTATGTTGAGTGTTCCCTTTTTTCAGGATTCGTCGTTTCTGGTACTTTGGCGCAGAAGATGGTCATCAATAATTCCTACAGTATCCGCAGTATCTGTAATTATTATCCTATGATTGTTACATGTTGGGGGTTCTCGATACTACTCTTTCTTGAGATTTGAATTGGGAAGAGATATAGGATCAACATCAACCAAAACATTTCAACCGTTTTGTTATGTTGACCCCTTTTTGGCCAAACCATGGGGTCCTCTCTGGCCCTATCGATATACTAAGGACAGAACAAGGACACCTCTTAACCTCCAGAAAAACCCTAGAGGCAATCAACAGACAATGTTGGGGGCCCCAAAGTCGAAACAGTTGCATTCCTTCGGCCTCGTCGAACACATGTTCTGCCGGACAGGTCAGGACGGCGTCGCTCCAGGTTCGGACGACGTGGGTGGTTGGGTTGGTGGGTCGGTCGTTCTGAGGAAGTGGACTTGTGGTCGCTGGGCATCATGCTGTTCGAATTCGTCCTGGGGCCCAGGACTTCGCGAGTTCGCAGAAAGTCATGAGACGAGGAGAGGTGCTAAGGACGACTAAGGAGTACAGAAGGATCTATTATTTCTCGGGTTTCAAGAGAGGTGCAATGGTTGCAAGAGTATTGGAAACCAGGTTAGGCGAACGACGAAGTGGGTTGGAGTTTCAATTGAGTTAGTTTGCTGGAGAACTTCCGCAGAAGTCCTTCATGTTTATCAAAGACTCGGACATGAAGCGGAAACATGTGGCAGAGCCACGAAAAACACAACCGGTCTTCTTCACGTCACTGCCTACGTCAATGTTGCCAGATGAGCAACCACTTCTATATATTTAGGCTGGACCAAAGTAAAGTGGTCTATGGCATCCTCTGTTTGCGTGTCTATCATTAGTATTCCCTTGTGAACGAGATGGGCCCCCCACATAAATGAGATACTTTTGTTTGATGACACTGAAGTACTCTGAACGAGATAGTGTGATCTACTAAAGTAGTCTGAACGAGATACTGTGACATGACCTCCTACTTAAGTACTCTAAACAAGATAGGGCCCCCACATAATACTGTCATAGTCTTTTTGAGTTTAGCATCAAATCAATGCCGTCACTGCCCTGCCTTTAAGCCGAGATCCGGACAATTCCTATCGTTCGAGGTCTGTGGCTACTTGCCCTTCGGGACTAACCTCGTCGAACCGCCCGGGCTCTCTCTGCTGCGACGGCGGTGGTCGCGGCGGAAACCGGAAGCAAGTGTTGCGTGGGTGGGCGAAGTGCTTTTCGCTCAGTCAGCGGGGGATGGACACGGAATTGCGCTTGTGGCTCCTCCCTTTTGTTTCGAAACATGTGTTCCAAGATTCGGTGTGACTTCAAGACCGACCCCTCGGTCCCGGAGGAAGCGCTCCGAACGAGGGATTCCACCAGTGTTGCCGAACTCCGAACGCTTGACGGAGCGTGGGACCAGTGGGCCAGGACTCGGTGATGATTGGGACCGGGCGTTGGGCCATTGGGACCGGCCTTTTACTATCGTTTGAGGGCAGATAGAGGGCAATACCCCAGGTGAAGAAGCAATAAGAGAATGATATCGTTAAGTCTATAGGTCAACGAGTAGGTATGGTATCAGATACCTCCTGGTCCTCATCGTCCCATCCTATTTCTCCTCGGCACCTCCCTCTCCCTCTCCCTCTCCCTCTCCATCTCCACCGAGGCGCCAGGTCTGCTCGGCGGTGCTGCGCGGAAAGCTCAAGTTCCCCTCGGCCTACAAGGCGCGGAGCTCGTGGAGCGGGAGTGGTCGTGCGGCGGCGTTACACGCGTTACACGGCTGGTGGAGGCCTGGCTTCCTGGTTTGGCGTTCGAGGCCATTTTCATCAACGTAGCCATCCACGTAGCCATGATCAACTCTATGTGACTCCTGACTCAATCATACTCATACCATTCCCTTCGAACCCAGGTTCCTGGACCAAGCCTCCACTCTGGAGAAAAAGCCCGTCGAAAGACCGGTCTTGGTGGAGCGGCCGGCTGGGCTGTGACCGACCGGGCTGTTTTCCTGACCGTCCTGGAGGACCGTTGGAGTCCTGTGTAGACCATCCGACTGTTCACGCCAGGACGAGATTGGGCGAGATCTCATCAAGGGCCTTTTGACACAGCCCGTGCCATGGCAGCTGCACACCCACGGCCTGGGAAAGTGGCCAGGGAAACCACGGAAGACATGGCCCGAATGTTCTGTGAAGGGTTCAAACTGCTTGTGTGTCTTTCATTTGTATTTCCAATCAATACCAACAAGAACATCCAGGGGAATTTGGACTACTGAATCCCGTCACCCTCCTTTTTGACCTTTTTTGACAGTAACTGGACGGCAACAGTTGTTTACGATGAAGATTGATGCATCAAGCAGATGACCCCGGGCCGTGGCAACAAACGGAGATTGCATTCACCTAATGGGTTCCGTGGCTCCATCAGTTAGCCGCACCCCGCGCGCTGTTCACCGTTGTTCCATGACAAGTGGAATGAGACATCCCACAATGGGTCTTCCATCATGCCCCATGGGTATCTAATTACTCAGGTCGTAGCTGTTCAAGAAATTTCCTGTCTGCATCTTCTCCCTCCAAGCTGACTGGTGCGACTCGTAGGGAATAAGGGAATGAGCCCCAATAGAGATTCCTTTTGGATCCAGCCACCCTCATTCCTTAAGAGAAAGCCAAACATGTTGCGTCTCGGCCACCCCTTCCGTCGTCTTCGCCTCGTGAAGACCGGAAGACCGGAAGACCGCTTCCGTCGGTCGTCGTCGTCCGAGGTGCTGAAGCGTTTGGGTGCCGGCGTGAACGGCCTGCAGGCGAGGTTCGAACGAGCATGCTCACGTGAGCGGTCGCCATCCGCCCCCTGCCCCCCTGCGGTTGGTAGGATCGGATAGGATCGGGAGTAGTGAAGTGGCGAAGGTTTTTTTCAACCAGGATAGGCACAAGGACTGGGCGGGATGAGAGAACAGCATCCTCATATACATAAATAAGGTGCGCTTTTGGCAGAACTATTTCATTATAAGTATTCAGCAATGCGCACTGCATTCAACATCACATGCAGAAGGTAGGGAGTAGCTTTTTGGTGGACCAAAGAATTGTGCTTCCAATGCTGGATGCAAAGTGCTATGGGAAGAGCAAAACCCAAGTAAAAGGCTTGACCAGCTGCAAGCAGTGCTGGGGGACGCATGTTTGGTTCAAAAGATTGCTGCAAAACAGCACCAGGTGTTGTATATTACGCTTCATATCTGGGATAATAATACACAATAACATAAGTTCTGGGGTAGGGTTGCCAAACGCGATAGAGCCTTTTCCAAGAGGATATGACGACTGCGTGTCATCAGCCTTGCGAAAACGACACCAGCAGTTGGAACGTGTTCGTCCCAAACTCCACGAGCAGAAATTGCTATGTTTTTGGAAAATAACTATAACTTAACTCCAGATCCGTGGGGTACCTAATGGAACAAAAGTTATAGTTGTTTTTCAAAAAATCTTATAACTCGGAAAGTGTGTGATGTTCTTGTCGAAAATAGAAATGATCTTTGTTGAACAAACTATAACTCCAAAACCATGGGACACCCAATTGAACAAACATATAGTCTTTTGTTTAAAGCTTATACCTTGGAAAGGTCCTTGTTGAAAATAGCTATGTATTTTTTGGAACAACACTATAACTCCAAAACCATGAGACACCCACCCAATGGAAAGAGTTATAGTGTTTTCCAAAAAATCTTATAACTCGGAAAGTGTGTGACGTCCTTGAAAAACTATAACTCCAAAAACATGAGACACCCAATGGAAAGAGTTATAGTGTTTTCCAAAAAATCTTATAACTCGGAAGGTGTGTGACGTCCTTGTCGAAGATACTTATGTTTTTTTAAAAACAACTATAACTCCAAAACCATGGGACACCCAATGGAAAAGAGTTATAGTTCTTTTTTCAGAACATCGTATAACTCGGAAATCCGAACCGGTTATGCTGCTTTTTTGAAAACACGCCTCGCTGTTGCATTGTTCGGAGCAGCTGCGTTATACTTGTTTTTGAAAACAAATGTAACTTATGATTCGCTAAGGCATGTATTAACGCCTTTTTCCAAGGAAATACTAGAGATTTACTTGAGACAGCTACATGACAATTTGTGATCAATATGCGCAGGCACCAACTAAAAAGATACAAAAAGAAGCAACATGTGATGGGTTATTTGCATGCCCTGGTGAATCATAAGTTTTATTATATTTTGAAAACAATCCATAACTTTTTTCCATTGGGAGTCCCAGTTTTGGAGTTATATTTGTTCAAAAAAGATCATATCTATTTTCGACAAGGACGTCAGACACTTTCCGAGTTTTATGTTTTTCTTTTAAAACCTTTTTTTCCATTGGGTGTCCCATGGTTTTGGAGTTATAGTTGTTCTTCAAGAAAAACTCATAACTATTTTCGACAAGGACGTCACACACTTTCCGAGCTATAAGATTTGTTGAAAAAGTATAACCTTTTTCCATTTTGGGTGTCTCATGGTTTTGGAGTTATAGTTTTTTTGAACAAAGATCATAACTATTTTCGACAAGGACGTCGCACACTTTCCGAGTTATAAGATTTTTGTAAAAGACTAACTTTTTCCATTGGGTGTCTTGTGGTTTTTGAGTTATAGTTTTTATTCAAAAAACATAACTATTTTCGACAAGGACGTCACACACTTTCCGAGATATAAGACTTGGAAAAAACTATAACTTTTTTCCATTGGGTGTCCCATGGTTTTGGAGTTATTGTGTTTTTCAATCAAAATTCATAACTATTTTCGACAAGGACGTCACACACTTTCCGAGTTATAAGATTTTGTGTAAAAAACTATGTTTTTTCCATTGGGTGTCTCATGGTTTTGGAGTTATAGTGTTTGTTCAAAAAATACATAGCTATTTTCGACAAGGACGTTACACACTTTCCGAGTTTTAAGATTTTGTTGAAAAAAAAGACACTATATATTTTTCGGTTGGGTGTCCCAAGGTTTTGGAGTTATAGTTTTTTTTCTCGAAAAATAACTATTTTCAACAAGGACGTCACACACTTTCCAAGAGTTACTTTATTTCTTATTTTTTTAAAGAACTATAAATGTTGTTCCATTAGGTGCCTCACGGATTTGTAGGTATAGTTCTTCTCCAAAAAACATAGCATTTCTGCTCGTGGAGTTTGGGACGAAAACGTTGTAACTGCTGGCGTCGGTTTCGCAAGGCTGGTGACGCACAGTCGTCATATCCCTTTGGAAGAGGCTTCTTTTTTTAGCAACCCTAACCCCAAACTTATGTTTTATTTCTATTAATTTATCCCAAATATTAAGCGTGATTTATGAAATTCAACAGGAGGACAGAATGTTTGATATCCTGTATCTAGTTCTTTCAAGGTCCACTCCTTGATTTAGCACAAGACATCAGATCCTCCTAATCCTCCTAGCTTTTGGAGCTGGCCTGACTTTCCCTTTGCACACCCAGAAAGCGCCAGGATGTCTTCAAGCATCCCTTTTTCGAGATCCCAGGTGCATCGGGTGTGGGACAATTTCTGCCAGAAGCTGGCAGATAGGACCTAGGACGGGAGCAAACAAGATTAGGACGCGATCCATTTGGATCCATATACCGTCCCCACCCATTAGGACGTGATCCTAGTGAAGCCAGCCTCATTTGCAAATTGGATTGTTAGTGAGGCTCACAGTCTGTACATATATGGCACAAGGGGCCCAACCGTACCTTTCTGTGTATGCCGTAATGTTGCTTGTTGATTGCAAAACCCTCCATGTGAAGATGTAAGATCATTCTATATACAGTAATAGGTGCGGCTTAGAGATGGATATTTCTCTACTTTCCCATTCAGTTGGATGAACAAGCAACTTGTGCAGTGTGAAGATTGCATTTTTTTCCAATGTGGAGAACTTTACAAGGGGATTCGGGATTCATTTGTTCACCACACCTAGTTGGGTAGCTATGTTTAGTATACTAACTATATACTCCGGTCAAGCAAGCTTATTTTACCACTGGAAAATGGACAAATCGCCTAGATCCGAAAGATACCCCCGTGCCCAATGGTTTTGGGGTTCCTGGTCCGACCCGCAGGGGAGTAGATCTTTGGATTCTTTTTCTTCTGACCTGCTTTTTAAAGGTGCGTGGCAGTCGCCAGCTCCGGGTTGACTGTGGGGCCAAGAAGCTAAAGCGTCAAGAAGCACATTATTTTATTATTGTTTTCATTTTTTTTCGTGACTGGAAGTAGGCCCCGGTCTGCTGGGTGCGGCCAATTGAATTCGTGACTGGAAGTATGCCCCGGTCTGCTGGGTGCGGCCAATTGAAAAAAACATCATGAGCTGATGGAATAGGATGGATTTGGTCAGAAAGTAGAGATGGGTAGTTATAATAGTTGTAAGAACATACAATCCTGAAGATGCAAGATACGTTTTGCGCCATCTACATTTTAGCCTACATCATGAAGGTTCAACAGACTTGACATGCTCAGGGTTGCCCCTTCCACCTTGCTTCAAGCACATATGTTGATCCTGTAAGATCTACACTCCCTGAAATAATCATGGAAGTGGAGTTTACCACCTGCTTGGTGTTCAGAATATGATCCTCCAAGGGACCATATGTCATCCACGTAACGTAACCATGAAATAATCCCAGGAAGTGTCACTGCCCCCTTCCCTCCTTTCTCCCCCCTCCGCCCACCGAATCCGTTTGGGCACCGGGGCTTCGCTTCGAAGCGGACACCAGGCCAAGCGAGCATGTTCGACAAGCTCTTGGGACGAGAACTGGAGCCTCCATACACTCCTGGCCCTTGGAGGCGTTCGGACTCCGCGCGCACCTGCGTGAGAGCCGAGAGGAGACGTGAGACGTGAGACGTGAGACGTGTGTGGAGACGTGTTTTTCTTGGGCCAATGAAGAAATGAAGCTTTCGAAAAGAAACCGGTGATCACCCTGATACATTTGCCGAGCCGGTTTTCACTGGATCACCCAAAAGTCCACTGCTGCGGCATGTTTTGTTGGTTACGGAGTCTTAGGTCAATCCCCATTGGATGACATGGAAGTCGAATATGGCCCCTTGGAATACTGTTTTCTTTTACGAACAGGAGGGTTGCCACTTCCATGTCGGCTGAAAAAAAAACCAAAGACATGGCCACATCCGGTCCCGTGTCTTCTCACCTCCGTGTCTTCGCCTTCCTTCCTCGGTGACGCCGCCAGGCCTCCCACGGACCAGAAGCGGCCCCACGGCTACTCGAAGGTGCGAACGACGTCCGTCGACGTCGGTGGGTCACCGAAACGACACGGAACGACACGGATGTCATCGGGATGTAGGGCACAGGACTTGGAAAGGGATGCCGGAATCCGGAGAAGACCAAGGAACTTGTCCCCCTCCTTCTGGGACACTCTTTCTTTCCATCGTTTTGTCTTGGGTTGTGATGATACTACCAGACAGTAAGGCCTTTCCCTGGTCTTCGTTTGAATCGCCCAAACCCGACTGCGGAGGGAGATGGAGGGAGGTTTCTAGATGTTTCTACCAGTTGATGGTGCCGGAAACGGGACGATCAGTTCACGTGGTTGATTGAACAGTTGTCTTTCTATGCCCCGTGATTGATTCTCTATGAGTACAGTCTCTGTTTCCACTATGAGATGTCTTTCGCTTCGGTGGCGCATTGTCCTCCCAAAGGTTCCAGTCTCGGGCCGTCTCGTTGGTGTCGAGCTCGCGGCGCATTCAGCTTCAGCTGAGCTCGGATCGTCAGGAGCAGTTCGAGCTCTTTGAACATCCCTTTTCCAAGGAGCCAGGCCGGGCTCTTCGCACATCCAGGGCCCCGTGGCCTGCCCAGATGGGGTCGGGCCCCTGGTTCAGCTGAACCCTGGGTGAAGCTGAACATACCGGGTGAAACAATTGGGGGACCTTCCCAAGCGTCACGTTTGACACCTGTCAGACTACTGGTCTTTTTAATGTGAAACTACAGCTTCTTTGAGGGCACGGCAAGCACGGCGAGCTTTGACTTCAGGTCCTTGGCCACATCGGACCTGTTTTGAGACCCTCAAAAGAGCGGTGCCTGGCAACAGAACTGGCAAATAGCCGAGCTGGAAAGGTGCTGGGTCGTTTTGACCGGGGGAAGCCAAGCTAGACCCAACCAACTTGGAGGTGGATCGACCATTTTTCTCTGTCCTCCTTCGTTGTGGAACTTCTGAGATATTCTTCAGACATTGGGGTGGTTGAGGCTGGGACATGCTGGGACGATCGGTCGTTTCTGTCTCAGTCTTGTGATGGCCTTCTACGTCGCGTGCTGGGAGGATTTCTCGGCTTTGCTGGGGCTCTGTAGGCTCGTCCCAGGAAGCAGCTCCGCTGACGTCTAGCACGTCTGTCTGGTCGCTTTCGGCTTTGTCATCCAAGTTCGTGTCTGACAGAGTCAGTCAAGAGTCAAGAGTTTCACCATTGTGGGGGTGTCGGCCGCTTGGTGTCGGGCTTTGACCCAGAAAGAAGCTGATCGTTTTGTGGCTGCTACTGTATGTCTACCATCAACTTGATTGGGTCGTGTTGCTTCTCTTTCTCCCAGTTCTCTCGGTGATTTTGTCCCACGCCCTCAGCAAGTTTCTCTATGGGTGGGTCACGCGCTTGCCTCCCATGGCTAAGCTTTGGTCTGTCTGGTCTGCCATTCGGCGCGTCCAAGGTGTCATGATGGCGGCTAACAGGTTTTGGCGGGCCATGATCTGGGGTGGTGCTGCGCACCCCTTCTGTCTTATTGGTTCGCGTCTTCTTACTATGGTTTCCAAACTTTGTGCTAAAGGTCTTCCTTGCGCTGCTAACGCCCCTCGTGGCAGTCTTCTGGGTACGCTTCAAGCTTGGTTCAAAGCTTGTGGGCCTTGGTCTTGGTCTGCGGGTCCTGTTCAAACGGTGGTTGATTTGGATGACCCTTTGTATGTGGAAGAGTTTCCTTAAATCCAACCGCATGAAGTGGCCGAATGGTCACACGTGAGTTGTGAACGCCTCGTGAGTTGTGAACGCCGAATGGGACCGAATTCGGGATTTGTCGTTTCAATGTCCTGCCGCTCGGGGGGGTGGCTTGTGGGGCCATGTTGAGCCCTGCATCTATGGGCAAGATTGGTGACCCGAAATGTTCCAGTTCTTGCAGTTGGCCTGGATGTTCGCTGCTTTGGCCTTGCGTCTTTTGCACACATTGCTTGGGAATGTCAACATAGATCCAAATTGGTGGCTCGTCCCCATAACCCTTTGGATGCTCGTTTCGGATGGGGCTCCTGTGAAACCCTTACCTGGCTTGCTGAGGTGCAGAAACGGATTTGGGTCACCAGACATGGTGATCCAGAACTAAGGTCGGTCGTCTAATTTTGTTTGGTTGGGGATGGTGCTGCGGCTGGCGCCGTTTTGCGGGCTCTCGTGGTGCACGCCGCATTTGGGCTGCGTGCATCGGCGTGCGGCTGTTGCCGCAATCGCTGCAAAATCCTGCTTTGCTGGAACCTTATACAATTAATGGCATATTTGCCTACATTGACCTCAGTTCAACCACTCCAATGTGTGTAACCTTTCCATACATCAATTGCTTTGGTAAAGATGCCATACTTTCATGAGTTGCGCTATTCACCCCAGGTAACATTTGGCTTTTGGTCCGGGCACAGCCACGTGGAGTAGTAGGAACACCCAGATCGGGTTGTCATTTGTTCGAGGCTGCGGGGGATTCTATGGTCGCTTCGCAGTGTGGATGAGGGATTGTCAGCATTGCTGCAGGACCTTTTCTCGATGAACAGACATTGTCAGCTTTACTCATGCACCTGTGCAAGATCAAACACCAGGTGGACATGTTCTTTCCTGGGATGGCAATGGGCAAGGCACTGTCAGTTGTGCCGTATGCACCAAGAAATGGCCCTACGCTGGCAAAAACTGGAAAAACATCTGATTCCATGCGCTGGACTGGACACTCTCTTACTGAAGACAGACGACGCAAAGAACTTGAGACATTGCTGCGGAGAGCTGACGTTGCTGCGGAGATCTTGTCCTTGATCATGTCACAGATGCCAAAGTTCGAAGCATCCAAACGAATGGACAAGTTTCCCAAAGACCTCTTGTAGTATCTTCTAGTCAGGTAAGTGCCGAGCTGACTCAAGATGGTGCCAATCAGCATCAAACGGAGTGTTGCGCCACCGAATCTCATGAAACGCCGTGCAGACCTCCCCCGGCACCGCGGTAACCGCCTGACTGTTTGGTTTGGCCTCGGCTCCGTTCCATCGGAAGGGTGGAAGTGGTGCGGCACAAGTGGTGCGGCGTCGATGTGGACAGATGGGGGGTCCGGGCCGAGCACCGACTGGGCCCTTTCAAGGTGCCATGTACCCTGAAACCACTGGTGCCGTCATGGATCTGACCTCAAATCGCCAGGAACGTGGATTTGTGGACGTGTTCTTGGACGTGGGTGTCCCACCCCTGCCAACTGAGCAAACGGCCGGCTCTTCTGAGAGTTCCCCTGCCACTATTTCTCAATGGGACCAGGTTAAAAACTACAGAAATCACCAAGTAGAGTATATGAGTTCTCTATTGACCACTTGGAGAGATGAGACCTCTCAAGTCTCGGCGTGGTCGCGCTATCCGTTTATCACGCTTGACCCAGGCCCAGTGGCCCCGATCGTCCTTACCAGCGTTATAAGGAACACTGTAGGGCTGTACGGCTTTGGTCTTTGGAACGACTGGCTACCTACTCCACTGGATTCCACTGGCTCTTTTGGAACCTCCTACGATCCGCCCCGCATGGCCCCGAGGTAGTTGAAGGTTGACCAGGAGCATGTGGGTGTGTATTAAATAAGGAGACCTCCCAGGCGTTCCGACATACAACAACCCATTGGGGCGATCGGGTGTCTCACAATGAACATACACACCCATGTTCGAGTACATTTGTTTGATCGGTTCATGTTGGTTCATGTTAGTTCCATTTTTTTGGGGAGTCCATTTGTTTGTTTGGTTCATTTCCAGTAACGTCCACGTTCTGACTGCCTGACTGCATATCGCTGTGGTGGGAGGGAGCCACACATCCCGCAGGTCATGGGCCGGAGGTGGTGAAGCAGAACGGCTTCTTTTGCCACTCAAAAAGAGATGGTCGGAAGGGACAATCCTAATTCCAGGACACCAGACCATCCAGACCATCCATGCATGAAATATGCCCGCATTGACCCAGAAAAACAACACAAACACCCTCAATGTTGGTACATATGCTATACATGGAGTGTTTGGCATAGGTAATGGGGGTGAAAACCATGGGTTTCCTGTCGATTTTCCCTTCAACCCATTCTGGGAAGAGAGGGTCGCCCGATCGCAGCCAACAAAGCATTTTTTTGAACAGCAATGCAATATAGTGATTGGATTACTGATTGGTACGTATCCCTATAGTTATCCCATTTATTTGTGGAAAGGCTGAGTCCCGTGTTCGCTTGGTCTTCGGTCGGTGTCGACCCAGACGTCTCCAGTGGTCTAACGACTGAGCGACTGGAGCGAGCGACACACCCGGGGGTCGGACGTGAAGCACTCAGCCGAAGCTGAGTGCGCTGCTCTCGGTCACCTCGGTCACCTCGGTCGGTCGCGGGTGTGCACGTGGGGAAGAACCCGTGTGCTGTGCAGGTGTACGTGTGAAGGACGGGGACCTGTGATTTCGGGTATCGAAATGTGAGGGATTTCCGGTCCACGAAATGAGCCCAGTTTCTGGGGGTTGCAAAACCCAAACTGACGAATAAGACCAGGAAACTGATACTCGTGAGGCCTTGGCAAAACGCACCGAGGTTCGAACTGCGCAGAATGGCACTCATGCCCCCCAAACCACCTTTCTCGGCGGGAACACCGATCACTCCGTTCGAACGTGTCGTTTTCCCGTTTGAAGAGTGGAACCTGGAACCAGCAGGGAAGTCTGGACAGATCGGAAGGAGCATGTTCTGTTGAGGTGCTCATGAGTCAGCGGACCTTCAGAGTAGGTGGACGCTTGTCCGTTGAATCGCCGAGTGGGTATTTCTCTCCATGTTTCTTCAAAACACACCAAAAAGTGCTTCTCTTAAAGAAAAAGATCCAGCGCAATGAATACATCATGGTCTTTAAATAAGCAGACATGTGGTCGTTCCATATGGAGCAGCCAACCCACCAGAATCCATGGCGGACGTCTTGCCGTTCTTCGGCCCAGGCAGCGTCTTCCGCCGGAACCGGTGAACCTGCGCGCGGCGCGAGTAGGGCGGAGTAGGGCGACTTCAGTCAGTGCCGGGGCGCCAAAAAGGAACAAACACCCTAGACCAGGACCCACTGGAGTTGGAGTTTGTTCATGGACAACCCTTAACCTCTACATAAGGGGCCATCAAACCCCTGAAAAAGAGGGGGTCCTGGGCAGTCCAATTGGACTATGTTTTGACCGAGTGAAGTGGTAGAAATTCTGAACTCGGGTCACCTAACTAGTCGGACCATTCATTTTAGTCTTTGACTCCCAGGATACATGGTGTGGAGTGTGGCGCGACGGGGTGGCGCATAGATTGGAAGGCTTTATAAGTGCCTTTTCACGAAAGCTAGCGAAGCTAGCTGGAGTTACTCTTGCGATAGCAAGGTTTCTTTCCACCCGGTGCAAATCCTAACCCCTGATTTTTCAGGTCGAAGAC